AAAGGCCAAGTCCTCATAACCTCAATCAAGTGCAGTATACCGTGTGCCACACATCTAAAAAAAAACACAAGTGGACCTCAGAACCTCAGAAACAGAGCAAGGAGGCATGTGTGCTGGGTGTCAGGAGGTGCATGGAGTCAGAAGGAGCAGATCGGCCGGGTTAATGAATTGCAGCTCTCAGAAACCCTGAGTCTTTGAGTTGAGCCGCAGTAAAGTGCCAGAGAGCTGGCGTTTGAAATACGGAGCACATGACCAGTTTACTTCGTCTTACAGCACAGGGTACAAAGGTCAGCTTGGTGAGGTGCAGAGACTTGGCGGGATGTGCCCTGGTAAAAACGAGGTTCTCTGGTGTAAGCTGGCATGGCACAGCATGGCACAGCTTAGCACAGCACAGTGAAGCGGAGGTGTTGCTGTTGTGAAGTATGAGGCAACTTATGGCAATGAGCCCTAGGGAGCTCTCTGCTTCCTTCTGCTCCCATTGGGTTTTAGCCTAATTTCCTCTAACTAAGCTGAAAAAAGGGAAACACAAACGACACACATCCAGGCGTATTAGGACTGAAGCCGGCCTGGCCCGGCCCAGCCACATCCCTCCCCAGCTCTCTCTCTGTTCCCGTCCCATCACGTGCAACTGGATGGAGGTGCCTCCTCTTCGATACCCTGGCGTGTCTGGAGGTCGGGCTCCTATCGGTCTGCCTGTGGTGGTGACATTAGTGGACTGGGTGCCTGAAGGCTGAAGCCAAGGGAAGATTCTTTCAAGAAATGCCAGAATGAGATCCTCAGATCGACTAGTTTCTAGCTACCAAACCAAGCAGAAGGGACTGAACCAAGGGCTTGAATTTAAGACCGTTAACGTTCTGTATTGTTGAAAGGTCTGATACACTTGCCTCATACTCAGTCAGTCAGCTGCAGCTGGTGTGTCCAGACCCCAGCTGGATTGTATAAGTCATGTGACTTCATTTAGTAGCTCCTTATCTCTGTCTTAGTCCTCCTGGCAAGCTCACTGCACACGTGCAATAAACCTGGGCCCAGCCCTGGCTGGGTACCTCACCATCACACTCTGGGGTAATGTTTAATCAGAGGTGCTAAAGCTCACTGTTAACCTGTCACGCAGGCAGAATAGCTCCAGCCTCAAGGGTGGACACCGGCACAGACCTGCATCTCCCAGGAAACATGGCACCCCGATCCCACAGGGCCCAGATATTCTTCTACCTGCTCCTGTGGGTTGTAGGTAAGACCATCTGTCTCGATGCCTTCTTGCCTGGGCATTGCAGAGAGAGGGGTGGAGGATTGAGTGGGCTTTTAAAGCCTTCAGAAACATCGGGATGAGTGGACATTTTGAAGGGCTGGGATACTTTCTCTATTGTATAAGCCTCCTGCCCATAAAAATATCAGTGCTTGAAGTGGGGACGGGAGACGATTGTCTTTGCTGCTATGAAACGGGCAAAGAAACAGTTCATATGTGAGAGTCTGGGAATTGTGGGAGCTAGAAGAACAGTATGGTAAAATTGGGGACTGACTGTGGAATGATGAAATTTAGAGAAATGCTGGAAGTGTGGCTATAAGCACCCTTGTGAGAACGACATCTTCTACATTTCGGACAGAATGGCGAGTTACAAAATAAGAATACTATGTGTACCTACAACTTACTCAAACCCCATTAGTCTTTTGTACTATTACAACAACATCATTATTAAATACAGCTGGGCCTTGATCTGTCAGCAGCAAGTTTATTAGAAAACGGCCATAACAAAACGACTAACATTTATCCAAAGTAGTGTATCTGGAAATACTATGTGGTAAAAAGTACGGTCAATTTAACAAAACATATATATGTAAAAATGTTAGAAAAGATAGTGAAATACACTTAAGAACAGATATTCACACAGATATGGATAGTGAGCAGATTGTAGTTTCTCGAAAAGAGGAGGGGTGTAACCCCCATGTCCTGGCTAAATTTCCCATTGGCCTTTACCAATCATGGCCTCCTTATAATCCCCATCTCTGAATTGGTTTCATTACTCTGTTCTCCTCCCCACTGAGAGCTGGTGTGGGGGGAGAGTACTGGTGCACTATGGCTGTTATCGCATCATCCAGGTGGGGCTGCACACTGGTGGTGGTGGAGCGGATCCCCATTACCTGTAAAGAGCTTTCAGTGGAGTGTCCAGGAAAGCGCTATATAAGTGTAAGCAATTATTATTAATTATCATTGTAATAAGTTAATAAACATTAGTCATGGGGGCATATGCATCTACATATCCTGTATTTCCACTACTTTTTATATAAATTATTAAATGATGTTTTCAAGAGAGCAAGAGTCCATGTGTCCAAGGACATTTATTACTTTTTCTTTGTGCTCAGTATTGGACAGTACAGTAGCTCTTTCAGCTTTCGATTTCAAAGTTAGTTCTTGATCAAGGATTAATTTCTGCCAGATTAGTCTGGAACCCAAGTATGTCAGCGATGAGAATTAATAACACAGAAAGGAACTAAAGCTGGAAAATAAATTTCCAAACATTTCAGTTCTGGCACTATGTAGCTCAGAGAGAGAGAGGGAATCAGAGCTCATGACACCAGTACAGAAGAGAGAAACATTCACTGGCTTTAACAGGAAATTTATAGAACAGTGCACCACCAAAAACACATCATAGGAATCGTAGCGGAAGGTTGTGGATTGATAACCCAGGTAAGAGACTGCTGTTGTCCCCTTGAGCACAGCAGTTCACCTGAGTTCCAGTAAAATACGCAGTTGTATAAATGGGTACGATATGTAAATCACCTTGGACAAAAGCTTCAGCGAAATAAATTAGCTCCTCCCACACACAAACAAGCTCAAGGCAGCTGGGAATGTGGTTGGCCAGGGGCCTCGGGGGCAGAGAGAGGGGTCAGGGAGACTCAGGAGAGAAAGCTCAGAATCGTCTGCTATGACACCCAAGAGTGTCAGGGGCAGTTCTTTCCGGGCCCTATGCAGATGACACAATCCGGAGTAGTGAGGAAACACTGGGGGAAAAGTCATGCAGGAGAACAGATGCGGGGAATGAGGCAGAACGAGGAAGGGCTGGAGAGCCCTTAAGAGGAGAGGTAGCAATCGTGACAAAGAGAAGGCCACACAATGTGAATATACAATAGCTCCCATGGTGTGGCAAAAAGAGATTCAAACTTACCTTTTGCAAACGATTCACGGAAACCAGTACAGGGCACAGGCACAAAATAAAAAGAGGCATGAAAATATCCTGGGAAACACTGGAGTTACATCAGGGTTCCCTTCCACATGTCTTTGCCCAACTTGATTTTTAGTGAAGCAGAAATGTACATATTTCATAATTTACCCTTTCTTAGCTGTTGGGTGAACACATGTAGAGAACTACCATTGATTAAAAGAGCTGTGGTAGCTCAGATGGCAGGGGCATCTAGCTCTTGACTGGAAAGACCTGGGTTCAATGATGGAGCTTGCTCTAATTCCTTTCAGATGGTTCCCAGGTCCACTCAGCCTGCTTTCCAAATGAGTACTGGGGGTTAATATTTCTGGGGGTAATAGACCTGCTGGAGTGTGATGCTGACCACATCACCTGTGGTGTCAGATGGTTGAGAAAAATAGTGGCCCTCGCCCCCATTCCCCCATGGGCCTTTATGGCCTGAAAAGGGGACCTAACCTACCTAACATTTATTAATATTTAGTACGGAAGCTTATGAGAGCCACAGAGGAAAATAATATCTCATTTATACAAGATAGTGTTTCCTTTATATGAGAAAAATATCTCATTTATATAAGAAAATTATAGCATTCGTATGAGAAAATTATAGCATTCATATGAGAAAAGTATCTCATTTATACAAGAAGATTATTGCGTTTAAATGCAATAGTTAATTTGTGAACAATGTTGCCTGTTGCCTACTATATTAATACTGTATATTGGATTGTACTTTATATGTAATTATACTATCCCATGCAAGGAACCATTGACTTTAACAACAATAGAATATCATCACACTTTTCTTATTGGAAAAAAAATCTAAAGGAGCACATGTTCTGTCTTTTATATACAGTACATGAAGTACAACACCGTGTCAGTAGACATTCCCAGGTTAAACGTATTGTTTTGCCGTTTCTGTGACCCAGTAGAAATGACATGGCTTTCCAAATGTGTGGTGCTCTTAATGTGAAGCTGCAGAAACGTGTCCTGTACATAGGTTTTGCCTACTCTTTAAACATTGAACAGAACACATTAACGATGACTTGACAGTCAGCTTCACATCACGAACAACATGTTTGGAAAGATGTGTCATTTCTACTTCTTACAGAAACGGCAACTTCAACAAAAGTACTCTTCCACTTTGGGTGAAGGTAGTGGAGAATCGAACAAGGACATCAGTCCAAATCTCATCAAGACATCTCTATTACAAATTATTTTATCAAATCAAACCATGTTGACATCACAAAAATGTTATTTTCTTTGACAGATGATAAATACTATTTGTGATTTAATAGGTAAGTGATAAAATGAGAAAAATACTGTGGAGAAATTACACCTTAAGCATAGTGACTACTCCTTAAGTACACTGCTTAGCAGGATGTTAACCTGACTGGATATAAAATACATCTTCAGAGTATACTAATATATAATAATTTGCTTACATTATATTACAGGTCATGGGGCAGCAACTGTAGATGTAAAGTCAACAGCTAATTTAATTGAATATACTGACAAAAATACACCTTTCATTTCCTCTGCAGAGATATTCCCAAAGACTGCTGATTCTACACACGTAGCAACTTCTATCCTTTATACCAGTGATGCTACTTCCTCTACTGACACACAGCCTACAGTCACTCCCTTTCCTGGAACAACAACTGATGTATCTTCCTTTACTGAAACACAGACTACAGTCACTCCTT